ACTTATGATCTCGAAGATTTTGCCGAGTACGAACCCATGAACAATGGACCGCAGCTAAACACTGCACAGAAGGACAACCCTATCCAAATCAAGGGGATAGGGACTGTGTTCATCTCTCATTCTGTTGAAGGATCTGACGGTCGTATGGAGGAACGCATTATGCGACTCTATCCTGTCTATTATGTTCCGCTTCTGTCAATTTGACTTCTCTCGCTTGGAGAATTCTTGCAAGGTGGTCTGCAAGTATGCAGATCGTCTAGCAAATTGGCTTTTTATCAAAAGGGTCGATGCCAGTCATTGGTATCTTACCCGCTCATGCCTGGTCAAACCATTTATTGGGTTAGCTCGCAGAAAGCCTCTGCTCGTAGCTTAATGGCCAAGTCAGCGATGGATAAAGTTGACTACAAGGTTCTACACAGATGTTTCGGACATTGTTCAGACAAGGCTCTGGATAAAGCTCGGAAGCATACTAAGAACTTCCCAGAATTCGACCGAAAACCAAAGAAAACCCGGTTATGCCGAGGATGTGCAGAAGGAAAGATGCACTCCAGATCGTTCCCTGACTCCACTACCCATGCCTCGAAACCCTTCGAAAAAATCCACTCCGACCTCAAACAATTCCCCACTGAGTCGTACCACAAATACAAATGGTATATGTCGTTTGTCAACGACTGTACTTCACATGGCTGGACAATGCTCATGCGACGCAAATCTGACTCTGTCAAGATGCTCCGTGACTTTATTGCTATGGTGAAGGTACAATTCAGTGTTGATATTAAGGAATGGATGTCCGATAGAGGGGGAGAGTACAAATCGGATGCCTTCGATGATGTACTAAAGGAGCACGGTATCAAAATTCTGACCAGCATTCCATATATGCCGGAACAGAATGGTCGTGCAGAAAGGTTCAATCGGACCATTGTCGAGAAAGCTCAAGCTCTTCGCTTTGATGCTTGTCTTCCACCTTCTTGGTGGGAATTCTGTGTGTTGCACGCTGTTGCACTTCATAATCGGACGCTGTCCCAGCATTTACGTTGGTTGACCCCGCATGAGAAGTTGCATGACAGTGCACCGGATGTTTCGGATCTTTGAGTATTCGGATGTGCAGCGTATGTGTTTATTCCGGAAAAGCGTTGAGTTAACAAGTTATCTCCACGTTCAGAACTGATGTCCTTCATCGGTTTTCAGGAAGGCATGAAAGGATATGTCTTCATGAAGATGTCCAACAATAGTATCTTCAAAAGCGCTACTGCTCTGTTTGATGAAAATTTGTTCCCGAAGTGTTCTGATAAGAAACCACGAGGCTTTACCCCGGTGGGTGAAATCCCTGAAATACCGCCGGTATTGGGTGAAAATCCCAACTTCTCTTCAGATAGTGATGATGATTCGTCTGATGACGATCTTTATCCTCCCAAGAACCTTCCAAAGCAATCGGAATCTCCTCATGACGATGATGGAGATGGTCCTATACCTCAGGGTGAACGTCAACATCCTGATCCTGATCCTCCGTTCCAGCCTCCTAGGCCACCTACACCAGTGGGTGGACAAGAGCAGACTCCGCCGCCAAGGCGTTCAGGCAGGAAACGGACGGGTACTAAGCAACCTGATAATGTATTCGGTGAACAACGAGACCCAAATAATCCCTCGCGCATTGTGCGTGACATGGAGAAAAATTCTACATGGAGAGATGCCACAGGTGATAGAGAACCTATGGATCCACCTACTACTCGTAGGAGAGGCAGACCTAGAAAGGTTCCTGGGACTAATCGTGCCAGTCTGTCTACCATGTGTAACTCCAGGGGGAGTCAGCCTGATAGCTTAGTGCAACAATTATCCCAGGAAGGGGGAGTAGGTTTCGTGATTTATCTGTTAAATCAGGCAGTTCCCGTTCACGATGACCTCACTGATATGTCTAACGTTCGAGAGTGGACTCTCCGTGACATACTGAAGCTGCCTGCTGAGCAGCAGAGAGAATGGAAGGCCGCTTGCCGCGATGAACTAGAGGCTCTTTGCAAGCGCAAGGTCTCCGAATTGGTTGACCTACCTAAAGGTCGCAAGGCTGTCAAAAACAGATGGGTGTTTGACGTTAAGTCAGACGGTCGAAAGAAAGCTCGACTTGTTGCCAAGGGTTTCTCTCAGGTCGAAGGTGTTGACTTTGATGAGATCTTCTCACCAGTTGTGCGGTTTGAAACTGTACGGATGATGCTCGCATTAGCAGCTCTCAAAAACTGGCACATTCAGGCATTGAATGTGTTTCAGACCACAAGGTCGATCTTTTCTTTATTGACGGTGCCTACAATCCTGCGGACATGTTTACCAAGAATTTGGGTCATGTCAAGTTCTCCGCTTTTAGAGAATATCTTGGACTTGAATTTTATTCGTCCGAATAGACGCTTCGTGCTCTACTTGTGCCGCACTTAGCGAGGGGGAGTGTTGAATCCGGACTACCGGATATATGGACCGTTGTATCGGGCCACATATATGCTTCAATCGTTTCACTATGATCTATGCTATTCCTAGTCACTCCTGTTATAGAAGATACAGCCACCTCTGTATAGTATATAAGTAGCTCTGTATCTACATGCAATACCAGTACTTTTACTACTCTCGTTGCTGCCTCTAAGCCTATCTCCAGGTGAGCTAGTCTGTCCCATGCTGCCACTGCGTGGGCAGGACCTCTGCCTCAACAGGACCCACATTGACAATGGTCACGAATCAACCTGGGGCTCAGTTCACGGAATCTTAAGATTAGCACTAAGATCTGCGTATCGGATGGGTATTTATACATAGCGTGAACACTTAAAATACAATTTGGAGCAGCTGAACCCAAACGAAGTGCGAGCCCCGGCGGGAAAATCACTTAATCACCTCTCTTGCTCCTTACATGAGAAAAGACAGAGTTACTTCCTGCAGCCCGTTCTTCAGATCCTTCGTGAAGAGACCCCAAATGAAATGAATATGTTTGCGTTTCGCCAAACTCCGTTAGCTGTAATCCAGGAGACAGCCTGGCTATAGTCGTCCTACGTCCTGCGGCGCTCCGAGTCCCTACAAGACTTATAGGATCCTCTCCACTGTTGTAGTCTTGTTCGCCCGACTGGGTTGCTTGTCCTTCAACTGTTACTTCTGCCCCACTGTGCGAATCCGAAGTTCTTCGACGTGACACTAGCCTCAACAAAGCGGTTACGATGACAAGGCAGTTGCACACTATCAATCCCACAGCAGCCTGACAGCTCACGGCTTCAGTCGAAATATCTTCGTGAGAATGCAAAATACGCGTACCTGGATGTTGGCCCCATACACGAGTCCTATCACGTTTGCTACGGTCGTGGCAGCTACTTCTCCGCACCCTGCTCCTAACGACAGCAACGTACTTGCAAACAGAATCAAGATGATTCGACGCTCTGAGGTCGGCAGGGACGCCATCTTGCTGAGGGCATATAGAGGTAAAGCAACGAGGAACAATGAGCATAGTATGTCCGCTGCATGAATGACGGGAGAAGAAGGTAAATGTCGGAGCCGGGACCAGACTCATAATCAAGTTGTTGACATACCAATGACTTGCGGACCCACAACCTTCCACCTCTTTCGTGCTGGCCATAGAGTTTCACTTCTCAGAGAATACAACGTCACGGCGTGGTAAGATACGATTGCCGAGCCTACAAAGAAACACCCGATCGAAAATGTAAGAGCAGCCGTCCTGAGGCGACCCGTTGGAAGGATGCGAAATATAGAGAGTGACAAAGATATTCGTGAAGCCCTTAGAGTTGGATGGTCATGAATTCGGATGCATGAACACCTATCAGCTGGGTACGCACCAGATAGCAGCGAAATTCAGGGCAGCGACGAGGACCTCCGACGTTCCATGTTCTGGCTGTTTCAGCATCGATTCCTCTCCTAGTCTTTTGATAGCTGGAGTGGCAACGTGAGCCTTTAACGCAAAGTGAAAGGTCCCGGTCCACCCCAAGATTCACCTAACGCACGGTTCACCCAGTCCAAGACAACGAATGTCATGAAAAGAAACGTAGCCACGACGACCCACCCATCGTCCCAGGATAGTTTCTTGATACGGATTCGACGTGCTAAACGAAATATTGTCGAGAGGATGGCGAAGATGTGGAGAACGGTTATAAAGATGAAGACTAAGGATGAGGCCTCGGGAGCGTTACTGATACCGCACAACATGCACAGAGTTAGATACGTACCCTCCCTCTGCTATTCAGCCAGAGTGCGAAATTGTTCTGGGGTAAAAGAGGAACCGCCACTCATGAGGGAATTGGAGCTGAGGAAGATCGAGAAGTATGAGTCGCAGTATAGTATACGAATCTCTGGAAAGCGAAGACGTTTAGCATCGAAAAGACACCTATTTAAGATGATAGGAATCGTGGGAATGGTGCACCTCCTTGATAGGCCTTCGATATTCAATATTCAATGTCCACAGGTCTGACACTCAACATTCCTCGAGGACGATGACTTAGGTGCGCCAGGTGTTCGGGCGTGAATACACCAGTTAATCGGTTCGATGCATGCCAGAGGATCGTAGCAGGGTCGACTCATTTTCCACCCCTGTTCATTTGATGCTTTCCGCCGGTTAGAACTTGAAAGGACTCGAGGACGATAGGAATAGCTACAGGCCAGGCTCGTACCTTGGCACAATAGAACTATGTAGCGGCGAAGGAGTAAATACGGAGATTTGATCAAGTCTGAGCGCACGCACCAGTGAACAGACTTGTCAATGCAAAGTTTACATCTGAACGGGTGCCGCGTTCACCTTTGTGAAACTAGATACGTAAGTAAGGCCTCTTCGTTCAGCCTCAACAGCATTCTGCTATGTAGAATTTCAGAACCCAAATGGGTCATAGCGGAGCTAGCAGATTTCTGTGAAGTGTCAGAATGCTACTCGGTGACTGGGCATGATGGAGGTCAAAGGCAAAGGTCTTCAAAACAAACTCGTGGCTCTTTCTTTGCTCCACGATTGCCCTGGCGATGCCCGAAGAGTAATTGGCTAACTAGCCCAGTTGGTTGGAGTGTCGCGCTAATAACGCGAAGGTGTTGAGTTCGATCCACACGTTGGCCGAACCCAATATTTTGGGCCCCCCATTTTCCTCAAAGGCCTGCAGCAAGCACCGCCGGTGACCCCAGAAGTGCCTGAGCTATTATGAATTGGAGGCGGGCGCATAGCTGAGAACATCTTGCTCACCGGTACTGGCCAAAGCTGCGCCCACACGGATCCACATGGCGCACTAGAGTACGAACGGGGCTTTGTTATCACCTTTCTCAAGTAAAAAAAAGTAAAAGCGTTATCTACATAGCATTGACATTGGTTGGTCCTCGTTAGTCATTCGTCAGGGTGAGCTGTGAAATAGATACCTTACACTATGTACCGATACAACGCCTACACCTCGATCAGCCCCACTGGGTCCCTGATAACAAGTCCTCCCGTAACCAGATTCCTCACCGCATCCAGCACACTCTCATTTGCTAGTCTGAACCTTCCTTCCTCCCCGAACCGGACCTCTTCCAAACGAACAGTATCTGAAGACGAAGGTTGTTTCTGTCGTGACGAGAGCATCTTCACGATGGCTGCATTGGTATCCTCGTCTACTGAAACGTCAGTAAGTCGAAGTAGCTGGAGGTGTGGCATTATTGTCCCTTCCGAGCCATCGTCCTCCACTTCCAAAACTTTCATGATACGCTGGGAAGTGAGTCTTGACTCTGAAAAGCCACCGATACCGAGCTGACAAATACGCTGTAGTTCGGGTATCTTCAGAATCTCGACTATAATGTTGTAGTCAGCGGCCACAATCTTAAAGTCTTCGACGGTACACTGCGAACGACAGAGAAGACGATGGATGCTTGTGCACAGGGAATCAGTGCTGTCTGCAACGATGTGGAGAGCCCGCAGGGAGGGTAACGTCACGGAATCCAACAGGCGATAAATGGATTCCAGTGACTGCGGGCAAGTCAATTTGAGGGTGTGGAGACGCTCGAGAGTTTGTGGTGAGGATAACTCCGTATCATGCGTGAACCCAAACGAGCGAAGGTGACATTCCTCGACGTTGACCATGAGAGGTAGGACCGTCTCAAAATTTTCCCAGATGTCCGAGTCCATCAGATCGGAGGAATCGGAATCGTCGTCGTCGGTGGCGTCGCCCAGAGACGCAAAATGGGTGATCTGACTCCAAGGGAATAGGGAAGCGAGGTGTGAAACGACATCACAATCACCGGAAAGAGTGAGGTTCACCAGAGCAGGGCAATCGCGGAATACGGACAAAATCGTGCTGGTTTCGTCTTCGGTGAACCAACCATCGCTCTCGAAGTTGACGCGTAGCGTCGACAGGGCGGGGAAGAGTCCACTGTATGGTGCTAGCCAAGAGAGCCCCTCTATGTCAGCTCGTATCGTGGCTTGGCTCCACCGAAACGTGCTTGAGCATAAGAGGGACACGGCTTTCTCCGTGCAAGAGTGTTCGAACCATGATACGAGGAGTGGCTGATCTCGTGAGCGCTGCAGCATCAACGACAGACGCCTCTCCACTAGCGCATCTGGTAGCTTGCCTTCTCCTTCCGTCCAATTCATATCGATGGCTGTCCAGAGGGCGGGGAGAGAAACAACCAAGTTCCTCCATCCCCGGCACACTTGACTGAGAACCCAGGGACACTTGTCGATATCGAGAGTCGATGAACTGTCTGGAAACTGAGACGTATACTCCAGCCTTGCGTTGATATTCGCATCTTCTTCGACGCAGAGTTCGAATATGATCCTGAGGATCTCAATTGGAAGACGGCGATAGGGGCTGAGGGCAGAGCGGTACGCTGATAATCGTGCGTCGGTGTCATTCTTCTTCTTCTCGAAAGCTTCTAAGCTGGCTCTCAGTCGCGCTATCTCGTTGTCGAGAGCGGCAGAGATACGTCGGAGGTCGTCATATTCCCTCTGAAGAGCGCTCTGCTCTGATAGTGTTGGAGGATTGTTCGACAGAGAGAGAGAATCCACGAAACCGGATGGTTCAACAAGGGCATCATCCGAGTGGGTTCCTACAACATGGCCGCAGCGGTTGCACGTATAGAGTGTACAAGGCTCATTAGCCTGTTCATAGATAAGTCTGATGCAGAAAAGTGAAGAAATTGACACACAAACCATGGAATTCATTTATCAAGGTAAAAACAAGGCAGATTTTGGTGCTGATGGTTATTGGGTCGAACTGGCTGGTGGAAGCACGTTACAAAGAGAGGCATGGAGGAAGGGAGGCAATAATTGTATGGACCTGTGTGGACAAACGCCGCGTGAGGCTGTCAGATTTCGGACCTTTCAAGTTTCTTCGGAGTTATTCGGCACCACGAGGGAATTGTGGGCCCAAGTAGGGCTAAGTGCAAATCGACGGGTCCACTTTGCTTCGATATGGCGTACTCAGTAGATGCTGGTCAAGAAAACCCAAACTGGGTTCAAAATTTAAAAGAAATGACTCAAAGAAACTATCCATGTCATACAGTATCCAAAGCATACAGTCAACCCAACTATCCCCCAAGGCTCGCCTAACGCAGTACTCAGAAAGTCAAAGTTTGACCAGCATTCGCCGTAACCGACGACTTCACGCTTCCCGTAGACAGCAAGCTGTACTGGTAGGGTGCAGTGTTAAAATCTCCAGCGGGAGCCGTGTTAGTTCCTCCACCAAAGTCGTTGCCACGGGCGACCGCGAACCCACCGCTGGTCGAGTAGAGGGGTTTCTTGGGGGCTGCGGGGGAGAGAAAGGGCGGATTTGAGCACAGCGAACTTGAATGGGGTAAAATTTAACGTACCAGTCCAAACGTTGTTCTCAACGAGCAATTGAGCCCCGACACGGGTGTTTATTCCGTCACTGCAGTTTTCATAATAGTTATTGTAGATATGACCATGACCTGAACAGTGAAGGCACTTCAGCCGCGAAGAAAGAGAATTTTTGGATCGGACAACTCACCGAATCGGAAGGAAGGGGTCCTGGATCCGATGTTCGTAAAGTAGTTGCCAACATAGGTGACGGTCATGGCGACGTCCTCAGTATTGGTGTCTGCAGCACCAACGAGGGATCCCTGAGCAAGCATTCAAACCTTCGTTAAATATACGACCATAATAAGATCGGCACAGGTCGACACACCTTAGCGTGGTTTGAGAGCTTGCTGTTCGAGACGGTAATGCCGGTGACGGCGTGGGTGATGTCCAGAAGACCATCGTAGCTTTCATAACGCATTAGTAACTGTATCCGCACGGATGAGCGCGACGTCTTACTAGTCCTGAATGCGGAAAACCAATTTCAGTATCTCGTTCACGGATTGAACGAACCGATACCGCATACCTTGTCATGATCCCTATCACTCGACAAATCGACATGATCGATCCAAACCTGGCTGGATGACTGAACGCCAATGGCGTCCCCAGCGCTTGCGAGCACCTTGGACACCTTCACGTTTCGGATGATGACATTCTTGACGCCAGCTACCCCAAAGCCAACACCATTCAGTTGAGAGCCCTTGGCACCGAGAACGGAGGTGTTGGATCCAACCCGGACGGCAGTGTTACCTGTGATAGTACCTATGGTTTAGGAAGAGGAAGGACGTAAGCATAAGACACAAACGAGCAAGGACGGTGAGACGACATACCGGAGATGATAACGATCTTCTTTGCATCTCCTGCAACTGCGCTTTGGAGAGCAGCCAAGGTGGTGACGGTGGTCACTGTTCCTCCTGATCCACCGGTAGTGCTGACAGTAGATATGTTAGGCTGAAATATAAAAGCGGTAAATCTGTGTCGAAGTCACATACCCCCCGTTCATACCCGCATAGCCAACAGTGGCAACATCATTCACACCAGCACGTTTTTCGAGCGGGGAAGCCTACAGGGAAACTCGTCAACAAAACACGAGGTCGGTAGAAAGTACCTCTATGACAGACCGAAACGACAGCAATGAGACCGACGATGGACGCGAACCACTTCATTGGGAGAGAAAGACTACAGTCGAGTCTGCCGTCTCCCTGTCAACGTAAACTACGCTTTTATACCTCTCAGAGTAGACGGTCGTCGCGATTAGTCCAGGGTTGATCCTTTCATTATCCCTTGCGACTCTCTTTTCCTCAACACCGGCCCGTCGGCGCGGCTTCACCCCCTTCCCAACCTCAAGAGTATTGAAAGATCGGATAGATGAGTGAATGCGATGATAGAAGATGGCTTGGGGAGCTGGTGGAGTTGAGACAACACAACCCATATGGATGGGCCGTGTGCGAGTCCTTGTGACTGGCTGAAAGGTGTTGAACGTCCATAGATGCCAGGTCATACGGAGTGGTGCACGTACTAGAGTCCAATGTTCCATGAAACTATTCTCCGAGCATCTTTCCATCTTTGTCCCGGGTACAAGGATCATAGGCTTGGCGCGTTGCCGTGAGGTAGACTGAGTAAGGTCAAAAGGAAAGGTCATTATTCTCAATGGGTGCTGTCTCTTCTCCGAATTGCGTCCGAGCTGTGCTACCCATCAAATCCAAGTCGCAGCGACCCGAGTGAATAGAAATTTGCATTGGTTGAGTCCCAAGCACGTATGGCGTGAAGTCTAAGCACCCCGATGCTCGAGTCAGTCATGGCCGAATTGAGAGAACACGCAACTTACACACACACAGGATCCTGTATACCCCAACAGCACACCAATATGACCACGCACCCGTGTCACCGGGGTGGTCCTCATCTCCTGCAACGAAACCAGCGAGTCAGGCCCCACGTATCGATACACACGTCATCCGAAATCTTACCGAGTTTTTTGAATCAAAGCTGTGCATCGCAACCTTCGATTCAAGAGGGAGGCTCGAAACTTGGCCCAAATGATGCCCGGAGGTGGAACAACCGCTCGAAAGCTAGAAATTGGGTCGTTTCCACCTTATTTGACTTGAGACGGGAAGGCCGCAATTCTCGTACTCGTGCTCGAGAGGGCCCGAATGACCGTCTAGAAGAAAGCCTACTTGGGGCTTCCATTCATTCAAAAGACCCTAGATATACAGCCGTGACGTGAAGTGATAAGACTAGGGTAGTAGCACCTGTGAATGCGTCAGAAGAGTCCAAGT